TTTGATTTTAGGGGTAGCAAAAACCCCAAAATTCATGCAGATCAGTTATGACCTATATTGAAGATGTCCGGGGTCCTACCTCAGCTCAGACACTCAATAGACGACAGGCCCAATGGTCCCTTCTTTTGTCAACTTATGACTTTGAAATCACTTATCGGCTTGGTAAAAAACAAGAGAAATCTGATATCTTATCCAGAAGGCCCGACCACCAACTTCAAAATGAAAGTGCAATTTTGGAACAGCAATACATAATACTAAAACCAGAAAAACTATGTCTTGACACGATGACAGTGAGCCCCGGTAACTCTGTTTTGTTGAAGTGAATCCGAGTTTAACTAAAAACAAACCCTTTGGCAAAAAAATAATCAAGCATCTAACCCGTAAAAGTAAAGCATCAACGACACTCCATTTTGACATTGATAAATTCTCATACAACAACGACCTTCTATTCCGGAACGGGTTATTGTATATGCCAAAAACACCTAAAAGATTAGAGATCCTTCATACGAGGCATGACTCAAAGTTGGCAAGACACTTTGGTATAGCCAAAACTATAAAAATAATCACACAGGACTATTGGTGGCCCAAACTTAGGCCTTTTGTGCAAAAGTATGTACAAACCTGTAACACCTGTACTAGGTCAAAATCACGAAAACACTGTACCCCAGACTTGTTAGTTCTCTTACCCATTCTGAAACGACAGTGGCAGTTTATATCCATGGATTTCATCACCAATTTGCCTTCGTCTTCTGGTTTTGACTCTATTTTTGTGGTAGTGGATAGGCTAACCAAAATGGCCCATTTCATTGCATATAATAAGAATGTCAACACAGAACAGACAGCCCGCCTAATTTTCCAAGAAGTTGTTAGACTCCATGGTGCACCTGAAGAAATTATTTTGGATAGGGGCCCTCAATTCGCATCCAAGTTCTGGAAACAATTGTTTAAGCTATTGGGCATGAAGGTTAATTTGTCCTCTGCCTACCACCCTCAAATGGATGGTCAAAGTGAACGGGTTAATCAGATACTGAAACAATACCTATGTTACACTATCAACTACTACCAGAATGATTGGGCTAAACTGTTATCTTTTGCAGAATTCGCTTATAATAATTTTACCCACTTGTCTACACAAACAGCCCCATTCCTTGCTAACTATAGGTTTCATCTTTGCTTTGATGTACAGAGCTCTGTTCCTGCTTCAGTTCCATCGGCAAAAACTACAGTAGTTCATTTACAAAAAATACAAGAAAAGTTAGTTGACGGATTAGGTGCTATACAGGAATGATACAAAAAATATGCTGATAGACATCAACAAGAAGCCCCTCTATACAAAATTGGTGACAAAGTATGGTTATTAAAGTGACATATAAGAACTGAGCGGCCCTCAGAAAAGTTAAACTATCGAAAACTAGAACCTTTCAAGATTGCTAAGCAAATAAGCCAGTTGCATATCGATTAACATTACCTCCTTCATTCAAAATTCATAACACTTTTCATGTATCCTTACTGGAACCATATATAGCAAATACATTTCCTGGAAGAGTAGCGGAGCCCCCACCACCTGTGACCATTGATAAAGAATGTTAATATAAGGTTAAAGAAATACTTGATGCAAAGTTAGTTCGAAATAAGTTATTTTACCTGGTGGACTGGGAAAGTTATGATGCAAATGAACATTCGTGGGAGCCTTAGAAAAATGTGAAACATGTCCAAAAAGCGATAGAAGCCTTCTATTGTCAACATTCTGACAAGCCTCCTAGATACAAATGCAAAAATTGCACTGGGAGAAGCAGATTGTTAAAAGGAAATAGTGTAATGATATACCAACCAAGCTCTGACGCTCTAAGCGTGATTTGAGCTTGTGACTCTTAGGCCCGTGACTCTTAGACCTGTGACTCTCAAGACTACGGTCCCAAGCCTGAGAGTTAAAGGTCTCTTTTCCCAATGCATAAAGAATGAGGTCACCTATTGATTAATTTATAGCCAAAGCCATATTACAATTTGGCGTATAAAGAATGTAGTCACATAGTAGTTAAATTAAAGACAATAAGTATCATAAGTAGTTCAAACGCATGAATTATGTAGTCATAAAATAGTTGAAAGCAATTAGTATTAGTAATTGCTTTAGTAATAATTGTAAAGAAATTCTGTATAAAAGAGAGATACAAACCTTTATGTATTGCTTAGTCTGTTTAACATATATAATTAAATCCTGTTCTTGCCTTTAACTTATTGCAATTACATCATCTTATATCTAGTCTTGACAGCTAAAATTTATATTTATATCTTAGGCCATATAAACTTAATTAATTGGTTCTCATAACCTGGCCGAGTCAAATTCAACAAAAGTTTGAAAAAATTTTTTACTATATTTATTAACTGGGTGAACTTTTTTAAATATTGTAAAAAAATTTTATATGTTTTTTACATATAAAATTTTTTGAAAATAAAATTAAAAGCCAGGTTGCCAGATCATTTTTAAAATTTTATGTTATGAGAACTAAAAAATTAATTTTATATGGCCTTAGTGGTTAAAATTTAAATTTTTAAATTTCAGATATTTTATAAATTTGCTACAATGTGTTTATTTTACATGAATAATTATCTAGTATGTGAATATATGATTTTATATATAATTTAAAAAATAGTATTTGTTAAGAAGTTTCAGATCTATAAGTAATAAAATCAATTGGGTTACTTTAAATTTTGTATCAGCTATTAACAGGTTAATCAGATTAACTAGGTTATCTGGATAATTTTTAATAATCTAATTTTTTATCTGGATTATAAATTTATAAACAAATATATAATCTGGAATAAATATTTAAACAGGCTTAATTACTATTCTTAGCAAATATCTAACCAATTTTAATATTTTACTACTATTAGAATTAGAAGAATCTATTCTACAAATTCTATTATAAATTTAAAAATAACTTATTTAATAAATTTTTTTTTAATTATAAAAAGAAAAGAATTTGTTATCATAATTATATAAAAATTAATCTGTATATTTTTTACAAGAAGCCAACCCAGAAATACTTAATGGCTACTTTAAAAAAAAGATATTTACTTGTAAATTATAAAATATTAGTTATGCAATGATTAATATTATTAAATTTGGGTTGTCAAAGCAAATAGTTAGCTAACATGTGCTATACAGAGACACATTTCAGCTAACCATTTGTTTTAACAAAAAAAATTTTATAATATTTATTATCACATAATCTAATATCAATATTATTATGCAGTTATGATCATAATTTACAAGTTATTATTAGCTAACTGAGCTTTAATTTGAGATTGTTTTGCATAATAATATAACAAAAAAAATCTATAATTATAAAAGTTTGCATAATAACAAGAAAAATAAAAACAAGAAAAATAATATTTATACAAAAAACTAAAAAAGAAAATTAAAAAAAACTTATTTATCTGGTTCTAAAGTTATTAAATTAAATAATTTAAATCAATCAAATTAAATTAAATATTTGATAATCAAATTCAAATCAAATAATTATCTAATTTGAATTAATCAAATCAAATTTAGTGTGATTTGAATTTGATTTAAAATGAAATATTTAATCAAATCAAATCAAATTGCAAAACCCTACTATTATGTATAACTTGTTGGTAAAATACTAGTATTATATACTAATTTCAGATTTTTAAGTAAAAATTTTATATAGTTACATATTTTTTCTGTTAATAGATTAGAATAATATGTATACAGTATTTACAAATGGGGGCCCCCACAGCAAAAGGTAATAAGCCAAAAAAATTTTTTCTGTAATTTTTTAATATTGTGTTTTAAATAATTCAATTTTTGCAAAAATAAAGTTTTTACAAAAAAAGTTTTTTTGAACTATTACCACCTTTTGCTGTGAAGCCTCCCAAATAAAAAAAATCAAAAAGTGAAATGAAAGCACAGATATAAGATTTGTGATACATCTATATTGTAAAACATACAAAAAAGTAGTGGATAGAATATATAAGCTATATGAATATAATAATTTAACTTTAACATGTATTAGAATAGTTCCAGATATAAATTTATCTATATCACCTTGTGTGCTTATTTGTGAGATAGAAATTGTCTAACCAAAGTTGGCCAATTAACTTATTTTCACTCCAGACCGAAACCTTATCTGGAACTATGCCACCAAAATTTTACCTGTGCGTGATTTAAAACCAATCACATTTCAAGATCAGGTGTAACATAACACAATCAGAAAAATTCAAAACAAATATTTATTTTGTCAAAAATCATTTATTTCTCGAAAAATTGTATACTAAATCATTTACTATGCATTATAGCTGTTTTCATTATTCCTAGAACACCTATAAAAAATTAGCCGAAAAATTTTTTGGCTGGTAATTTTTTTGGCATAATCGGTATATAAAAATTATATTTTTTTGAATTCATTCAATTTTAATTTACTGTAATATTGATATAATGTTTACGTTATAAATTAAATATATTTTTGAATTTATTCAATTTTTATTTACTATATAATATTGATATAATATCTATATCTAAATTACATTGTTGTTTCAATTTCAAAAATTACCATAATAACTATAATACTTGTTCTATATACAAATAATTTTATTATTATAATGTCAATATTATTAAAATTTCGTTTAAATACTTGCCCAATATGTTTAGTTTGTGCAAAAATTTATGGAAAAGATTGTTTTTGTCAACCAATAAAACTTGACAAGAAATTTAAAAAAGGCTTCAGATATCAAATTCAGTCAGAGAATATACCATAAATAGATAGTGCAGATTACACCTTATATAGGTGTAGATTATCACTCGATTGATTCTGGAAAATTCCAAAGCATAATCGTTGCCGTCAAGTAAAAAAATTTTTTTTTACTTCGTTTTTAAAATTAATTTTAATTTAATTATTATAATACTGTAATATGTATTGAGAATACAATTTTATTGACTTCGTTTTTTTTAAAATAAAATTTATTTTTTATTTA